ACACCTTTGTTTACCTGCGGCTGCTTATAATTGAAACTTAACACGAAGCATGTCCAGGAACTCCTCTGATTAATGAGAAATTATTATAAATAGATGATTTTGGAGTCAAGGTACAAGAGGGACTGAGCACTGATACATTGAGCTGTGGCTGGTTTTAAAGTCTTACCCCAATGTAGTAAAATTGGAGCCATGACCTACATTTCAAACAATTTAGCTGTGAGATTAAGTATTGGTGTACTTCAAAGGCAGTGAAGAATGTGTGGCCTTGGCGCCTTGAGCAATGCACACTCGTCCACCACAAAGTTGGTGGCTAACTCGCTCATGTGTTTCTATGGGAACAGTAAAGATGGCACATAGATGGGTTTATTTTAACCCAAAGAAATCACTCCTTTGCTGTGACTGCAATATCCTCAGATGATAGCTGTGGAGGACAGTTTATCTGGTTTGTGTGATCGTTGCCTCTCACTGATCTTCATTTTCAATTTGTCCCTCCTTTAGACTTCTGCTCGTACGCTTTCACTCAGCCTGACATCTCATTTACTTTCATTTTATCAAATCCTACTCGCTTCCTGTTCCTGTTTCTCTCTTTCTCCATCACTCCGCTTCCTTCCATATTGGATGACACAATCCTGATCTGAGTTTGGTTTCTAACAGTGAGATTCACTTGATGTGAAAACAGATCGAATCGAGGCCGATGGAGAAGGGAGAGCAAAAAGGGAGAGGGTCTGGAAATCGAGTGGGTGGTTTCACCGTGAGAGCTGGTGTGGCATTTGTGTGTGTGTGTGTGTGTGTGTGTGTGTGTGTGTGTTTGTGCATGCATACGTGTGTGTGGGAGAGTGACAAAAAGGAACCAATGGAGATAGTAGTGTGTCATGAAGCTCCATGCTCAGTCAGATCCAGGAATACTGTCACATCCTATCCTCTTCAACACTGGTCTCTGTGCTCTGTGGGCCAGCAAGATCTATAAGAGATGTAGATATAAATACTACACCGTCTTGGCTACATCTTCCTTTAGTGTCCCGAGGCAGCTGCAGCCTCAATCTACAGTACTCCATTGATCGTAATAAGCCATTAAAAATGATTTGACTATTGTTTTAAGCAAACGGCATCAATAATCTGAGGAATAAATTCATAGCACACATGAATGGATTGTCTTAACATGAATATTTATGATAGCATACAGCACAATAAAAATCATTCATGCAAATAGATATACAAAGAATGTTTTAATTTATTTTCAAATACCTTATTCATTATATCCATATCTATTTCACTATATCGATTTGTCCCATACAAATGCAATTTCCTTTTTCAATTTTTTTCATGACCCAATTTTCCTTAGTAGTAAATCAAAATAGTCATTTATTTGCTCTTTTAGGATAAGATGAGGCTGGCACTTTTCTTTGTTTTGTTTACTGTCACCAATTTGCATGGAAAGACCAAAACCAGCAATGCGTTAGTCCATCTCCCAGTGAGCGTGGCACGGTTGTTGGTGCCACGCGGGCTGGTTTGAGTGTTTCTGAAACTGCTCGCCTCCTGGGATTTTCCACACACAGCAGTCTCTAGAGTTTTTACTCAGAGTGTTGCCAAAAATAAATAAAAAAAAAAGATCCAGTGAGCAGCAGTTCTGCAGCAGAAACACGTTGTTGATGAGAGAGGTCAGAGGAGAATGGCCAGACTGGGGTTGGCGGCTGACAGAAAGGCTACGGTTACTCAGATAACCAAGAACAGAGGCCCACATCAGGTTCCACTCCTGTCAGCCAAGAACAGAAATATATCAGGCTGCAGTGTCACCAAAACTGGACAGCTGAAGACTGGGAAAATGTAGCCTTGTCTGATAAATCTCAATTTTTGCTGAGGCGCGCAGATGGTAGGGGCAGGATTTGACATCAACAGCATGAAACCAACAGTCTAAGCTGGTGATGGTGGCGTATATTTTCTTGGCACACTTTGGGCCCCTCAGTACCACTCAATCATCATCTGAATGTCACAGCCTATCTGAGTATTGCTGCTGACCATGTCCATCCCTCTATGGCCACAATCTACCATCTTCTAATGGCTTCTTCCAGCTTGATAATGCACCATGACACAAAGCGAAAGTCGTCTCAATCCAGTTTCACGAACGTGACAATAAGGACTGTGAACTTCAGTGTCCTCCTCGGTCTCCAGATGTGAATCCAGTAGAACACCTTTGGGATGCGGTACAACAGGAGATTCGCAGAATGAATGTGCATCTGACAAATCTGCAGAAATGTTGTGATGCAATCAAGTCAACATGGAGCAGAAGCTCAGAGGAACGTTCCCAAAATGAGGCTGTTTTGAGAGCAGATAGAAGGCCCTACCCAGCATTAGTATGGTGTTCCTAATAACGTGCTCAGTGTAAATATTGTTTCATTTCAAAAATAAAAAAAAGGTTCAGTAATTTCCTATAACATCAGAGCACTGTGGGTTTTTATGAAACTTCATTCAAACAGGAGTAAATGGTGCATTTGTTAGGGACTGTTTCCAGTTGCGGATTGATACACGTTTGGTGCTCAGTTGAGATTCTTCCCTTCGTGATGAAGACACGTGTTATCTTGTACAACAGTGTGGCTCATTTTTGTGTTTTCTAATAGTCTGAGGTTAAGAATGGAGGTCTAAGCCCCAGATGAAGAAGATTTACCAGCTTTATTTTTTCGTTAGATGTGTTGTCTTTTCATGGGATTTTTGTTTTTTTCCCAGACATTAATTAAAATGTACAATGTGACAAGCCTAACCCTTAAACTTTCTGTTTGACATTTTTAGGCAAATACAACAGGAGTTAAACCAAGCAGCCTACCAGCTGATGTCGAAGCTGCGTGGCATGACTGTTTGTCTGCGTTATTATTTTTAGGTGACTGTGAGTCATAGCTTGTGAGGAAATTAAACAACATTTAATAAGCTCAGGTCTGCTACTTCAACACTAAATGAGTTTACTGAGACTGCAGCCTTGTGTCATTTGCAAATGACAGCAAGTGGGTTGGGATTTTTTTTTTCTGCTTACACTATGTTTGCATCATGATCTGAATGATCTTGTTATAGCCGTCATTGGAGTTTTTATGTATGATCTGGAAATGAGATTTTTCCCACAAGGGGATGAAAGAATCTCGGTATATGTTGTGCATCTGAGCTGCAGTGTTGCTATGACTGGACACATGTTCATTAACATAATTTTTAAAGGGACATTGCACATTTATCATGTGTCATTCAAGTGTCAGAGCACTGAAAATCTGAAACTCACAAGCTATAAACTGTTCATATGCTGCATACTGCTGTCAGTCACATTAACACGAAAGCTGCTGGGCACCGAGACAGGAAAAATAAATAAATAAATAAACTGTAGTTACATTCTGCTGTTTGTGCTGTTCTTCCATCCCCCTGGCACACACACGCACACACACGCACACACACACACTGTACAACACAGTGAACTCTTCTCTTTGCACTCATTCCCGAAAAGCAGACACTACTGCCTCTATCTGGACATTAGTTTGAACTACACTCTGTTCAAAAGCAGGGCGGTTTAATGACCGTCATTTTCCACTGCTCCTCGCTCTTTTGTGTTTCAGGAACTCACTGTGGCCCGAGAGCACGGGGTATTTTATTTTATCTGTGGGGTCGCAATATTTCATGATCCCTTCAACAAAATTTCAATTTTCAAGCTGAAATTGGAAAATCTATCATCATTTTGTTGCTCAAGTGGTTTCATTTAATTTCATCACAGTGCCCAAGGAATTGTGTATCTGTGTGTGTGTGTGTGTGTGTGTGTGTGTGTGTGTGTGTGTGTGTGTGTGTGTATGTGTGTGTCTCGGATGAAAGTCTGGTTGAAGCATGTTGTTTTTTTTTATTGTTGTGTCAGTGTTTCACGTGTGTCTGGTGCATTGTCTTGAAGGAGTGCCACACTGTAGATTTCCAGCCTAAAAGCAGCAGTGAGTGTAAGACTGTCATGACAGAAATGGGTCCTTGTTAAAATTGCAGCGTTTATCAGCTTTTGTTGTTGCTCCCTCCGATGCAGTGGTTCTGTTTGGATTGTGACTTCTCAAAACCGAGAGATGTGTAGTTCTAACTCTTTGTCTCAGATTGTGTAGCAGAGCTGTAAGTACGCAGAGGTCATGGCCTCTCTATTTCTGTTCTCGGAATATGGGAGCCTGAAGTGCAGTTTATATTTTATAATTTTAAGTTAGATATAGTGGGTTTTTAAAAGGCAAATACCAAACTCTTTTAGACTCAGTGTCCTTAAACGTTTTAAACAAACCATCATCTAGAGAATTCATGGATGTAAAAGGTTTTTTTTAATGAATAAAGAATTAAAAATCAATGGAAAAATATCCAAACTCAAAGAAAAAATTAATTTTTAAAAGTCAAAGAGAGGATGCTTGGATTTATGACCTCATTTTCAAATAATCCTGGCTACGACCTTGTTTGTGAGCTTCATTAATAAATGATTTTTCCTTCTCAAAATGTTTCATGTGAATAATATTTGCAGGGCACTGAGAAGATAGAACTATCTCTGATTACATAAGAACCAAGAAAAGATTAGAGAAAAAATGTTGCATGGCAGTAATATGGTTTTCATTCTGTCTTATAATCATCTCATGACCCCTCAGATTCATCTTGTGACCCCTTTGCGAAAGCGCTGGTTGGGAACCAGTGCTTCAGTGGTTCATTCAGTATCTGTTTTGGAATTGGAAAAAGCCCACAGACTTTGAACAGGTGTCAACAGGTGTCAACTGCTGTCAGGCGTTTGCAAACCTGGCAAGTCCCTGCCAACGACCTAATGCCCTTTACCATGTTTACCAGTTGTCTTCACGAGCGGGTATTCGGTTTTCCTTGTGTAACTGTGGAGCTGATACCGCTGTACACATGGAGCTTTCAGCTGTTGCTGCAAGCAGCTGAAATGTAATTGAAAATGATTGTGTAACTGCAAAGCACAGTAGAATAAAACCACCAGGCATGGGATGGGGTCAGTTCTGTGCACCCTCAGCTTTTTTCCATTTTAATTTCTTTTCTTTTACACTCTAAAAAATATTCAGTAAAATGAACAGTTGTGGTTATGAAGTCTATCTCTACAACCTTTTCAAGAATAAGTTCAGAAGGCATCAGTACTGACAAACTGTATTAATTATTATCATTAAATTCTCATTAGATTTATTCAACTCTATCCTTGTCTTTTTTTATAATAATGTTTAGACACTTTAAATTATGGCTCACTGTGAACATTTTTTTACAGAGAACTTACAGAGATTTTTTCAGCAAAGTGAAATGAATGCTTTATCATTATAAAATATCTCATGATAAAATCTTAAAGTCCTGGAAATGAGTCTCATGTAATCCACCCACTGTAGTCACACAACAGATCTGACCAAATGCTCCTTTATCCGAGCCATTTATTAGAGATTCTCAGATAAATGAATTCCTCCCGCTTCATGTGGAGCTGAGGCGCCTCAGCTCTATCCAGCCATTGATTGGAGATGTGCTCAATAATTCATATAATAGCATCGGAAAAGAGCGTGTCATTCATCATCAGTCATGTCATTTTGGTGTAAGGCAATGACCCTTGCAGGCATGCCAGTTAAATCATCCCATGACATTATGGATGGGGTCATTTGTAACTGTGTCATGCTATGATTACTTTGTTACAATGGATCCTTCTGACCTTAGTGTGATTCAGTGAGTTAAGAGTGTTTGCGCTTTATGATCATAAACCTGAAGTTTCTCTCATAAGAGTTCCAGTCGCCGGGCGACAAGAGGTCAGGCTTTTATTTCTTTATTTTTTGACCAAAAGGTTTTTCAGAAGAGCTCAGTGTAATGTATTTGACAGTTTTAGAGTTATGTGTGAATGTTTCTATTCCTTACAGAAATACTAAAAGTTAAAGAAGTTATGAATCAAGATAAGTTTATTCACCATGAGGAAAACTACTGCACCTCTACGGGAACTGTAGGGTGGTTTTGAGTTTTGTGTTTCTGATTGGAAAAAAAAATCAAGACTACTGCTCTCCCTGACCTCTTATCTAGAAAACATTACAGTGTTCACCATCATCAGAGTCTGGGAGGATGAACAGGAAATAAAGACCATGAAGGAACATAAATTTGATCAAGTCCTCTTTTCCAGTGTGATCCAGATGCCCTTCTCTGGTCGCAGAATGAGCTCTCCTACCGGCCGCAGCTCCTCTCGTTTCTGACAAGCTTCAACGTTGAAGTTCCGCAGAATGGACGCCAAGATCACCTTCTCCTCCATCAGAGCAAAACGCTGACCTGAGGAGCATCGTAGTGGAACACACACACACACACACACACACACACATACATCAATCAGTAATGCTACACACATGACAGATTCAAAAGACATCATTCAGAAATTAAAGTATGCACGGAAACAGATCCAGTGAACTACAAAATAAAACTCTCCTGTTCTTCTCACCTATGCAGTTGCGGAGTCCAGCAGAGAAGGGGAGGTAGGCGTATGGAGGCCTTCCTACTGAATTCTCTGGTAGAAAACGTTCAGGCCTGAACTCCTCAGGCTCAGGAAAGTATCGTGGGTCACGATGAAGAGCGTACGTGATGATGGTTGCATTGGCACCTTTGGGAACCTTGAAACCGTCTACAGGTAAAAACACGACTTAGTTAAGAAAAGAAAAAAGATCTTCTTAAATTATTATTTGAACTTTTTCCATGTAGGATCCTTATGAATTTCATTGCTTTTAATTTAGACGTGATGAAATTAATTTCATTGCGCCATCAATCATGACAGACAGATGAGAGATGTCCAATTACCAAAAGAAGAAAGGCTGAATTAATATATAAACATTATAAACTGTAATCACCAAATGATTTGCTATGGTCTGAGAGAAAAGTTTTTTAACAATGACATCATACAGCATTCCCACAATAGGAATGATAGCCAGAACTCCAAAAATAAAAGCCTAGTTGTAATAAAGCTGAATTATCTTTTAATATGATGCTCGTGTTTGATCCATCTCCTCGGGTTGACGCCATATTTCATGTATCTTTGCTTCACTTCTTTAAATCAAAAACTCAAACTTTTCTTGGCTTTCCATGAACAAACTTAGCATGATCATATACCGCAGAACACCATTTACTCTTTCACCACACAAACTGATTGATATTTACCACATGTAGCCGTTCACATTGTTGCCGTTTTATTAATTTGAAGAAACCCAATGAAAAGTGGGGAAGAGACAGCAGCATAAAGTAAATGGTGTGTGACAAAGAAAACTATTTTTCAAATGAAAATAATAGAGGGAGCCTGGCTTCCCTTGGCTTCTTGATAAAAAAAAAGAAAAAAGAAAGAAAAGAAAATACCACCGCCTTGGGGGATTTGCACTCAACAAATGAATGTTTCATTCAAGTGTCATCACTCATCTGCAACTCACTGATATGGCAGTCTTCACAGATGCTGCGGGCAAAGAAAGGCACAGAGGGAAAGAGTCGCAGTGCTTCTTTGATTACATACTCCAGGTATTTGAGCTTCTTCAGGTCCTCAGTGTTAATGGGCCGGTCAGATGTACCTTTGCACATTAAACAGGAAATACTGTTAAGCTCTTCAGCACAGAATATAGTTCTTAGGTCAAACGGCTGTTGATAAGTTTGAGCTCTGGTTGCTTGGTGTTGCACTTTCGCCTACTTCTATATCCTTCATATATTCTTGACCTGCTACAGTAGATAAGACTTTGCTAGTAGTGTATTTATTAAAGTTAAGAGTCTTTACTGCACTAATTTTTTTGGGTATTCATAGAATGATAAACCCCACCTATAGGTCATTAATAAGCAATTGGGTGGGTAATTTTACATCGAAAATATTGGGAATAGGATAAAATGAACACTTCTGTTGTTAGAACCTCAAACTGGTGCAATCTTAGTATCTATTATTGCTACAAGGCCGTGTAGCTTACGTCATGGAAAAATGTATAGATGGATCCACACGTGTGGAAATAATTCAATTATTCTCTATGTATTTTGGCAAAGATTTTCACAGCTATTATCCATGTATAAGCTCCCCTAGACTTGTAAAGAAGAAATGAGTCTGAACAAAGTTGAGTCAAAAGGCCTTCGGGCAGGAAAATAAATGATGTCATGAAAGTGAGAACGTGTGCTGTTACGGGGATAGAGAGGGATGTTGCTGTTACCGAACACCTCCTGAAGCTCTTGTTGAACTTTGCCGTGCGCCTCAGGGTGGGAGCCCAGCAGATGTATGGCCCAGTTCATAGAGGCGGCTGTAGTATCATGACCCTTCAAAATAAAGGCAGTTAAATACAGAAAAACAGCTCATTCTTTAAAACTTTAAAGATGCATAAATACTTTTTTTTTTTTTTTGTCATATTATCACCAAAGCATGTTAGCAAACAATTGCGCACATCAAGCAGACAATAGTATTCATTTGGAGTTGCTTTTCTAGCCACTCCATGAATGTAAGTCTTCCACTCACCCTCCTTTTCACTTTGGGGCTCCAACAGCCTCTGAGGGAAATATCTGGCGTCTAAGCTGCTAAATGCTCCACAGGCACCATGTTTACCAGCTAATGGTTAACTTTCTCTGCCATGTGGTGCTCAGCAGGTAACGTAGGTGTGCTAGAGAGTTTAGGTTAAGCAGTGAGAGTGAACCAAAACAATGGGGTAAAAGACACTAAAACGCTCTGCGGGCCTTAGGTTAACAGCAAAGCGGGATGATAATTCACTGCAGCTTTGTCACTATGAGCAACATTGTTCGTATCAAATATTTTTTTGGTGCAGCTTTACTTTGTGAGTTTTATTTGTCACCACCAACCCTAAACATAAAGGTGTCCACTTCCTCCTGAATGTCCTGATGACTCATCCTGTTGCCATTCTCATCCGTAGTCTTCAGGAGCATGTCCAAAAACGCCCGTCTTTTCTTTGTGCCTTGATCAGAGTCGCTGTCTGACTCCGTATCGGAAATGTTTTCTGCTCGTTCATGTATCACCTGAGAAGAAAGGAAGCGGAACATTGTCTTAATATTGTGTCCTCTGTGAAACGCTGGTATGTTTCAGTGTAATAAACACACTGAATATTCACAGATTTTCATACCGCCGGCTCCATTACTCACATTGTATGTGAAGGAGTGCAGAACCTTGAGTGTCTTGTCATGCTCCCGGCCCTCACCAAAGAAGTTGTACACAAAGTCAGGCCAAAACCAAGGTGTCCTCTGTCTGCGGCTGATAATGTCGCTCATTCTGAGGACAAAAAAAGTGAAATAAAACACAACAAATATGACATAAACCTAACTTTTTAACTCATTATTGTCCGTATAAACATGTTAAAAAAAATAGAAAAGAAAATAACTCACTTGTACACACTTTTAACATATTCTGAATCTGAGTTGCTCTGGGCATAAATTTTCTTTCCCATTGCGGTTTCTGAAAAGACATCGTTTAAAGGGTGTTTTGTTCAATCCGGTGCCCAGTGCATGAATTGGGTATCTTTTCTTATTGTATATGCACAAGATGTAAAAGGTTCATCCATACTTCTACATTTGATATCCACATACTCACCACAGATAATGTCCAGAGCACAGAGGGTGATGTGACTGAAGCAGTTGAATGGACCCTTCCCCGCCTGCTTCTCCAGCTTCTCCACCAGGATATCCGCCTGCTCGTTCATCACCTCCAAGAAGTCTGTCAGGATGGAGAAGTGGAAGGTGGGAGTCAACATCTTCCGCCGCTGACGCCACTTACGCCCAGTGCTGATCAAAAGGAAGGAAACGAATCAAAGATGGTTTAAAGGTGAGATGGAACACAGGGTCTACGTATTCTTATGAAATCATAACTGGGAATAAAATGAAACGGAATGACAGGAGAAGCAGAAATGAACTTTTACTTTATTAAATTTAAATCATCATCAAGTGGCAGATTACCATGAAACTGACCTTTTACACTTTTATTCTCACAAAGAATGGACACCAACCTGCTAAGACTTAGTCTATATTATACATTTGAGATATAGCTATAAAGTTAATATTGTTATTGTTATTGTTATTATTCCATTACCATTTTTTCAAACCCACAGTTCCTTTTTCTGATTGTTACTAGTCATCTTTTAATATCATGCAGAAGAGGATTGCAGGTACACACCTGGTGAGAAGACCAGTTCCAAGCCACGGGTGGAGGAAATTGTATGCATGAGCCTTGTCCATATGAACAGGGTTAGACAGAACTGTCTACAAAAGACGGGTTGTAGCAGAACAATAACATTTTAAACAACAAAATATATAGCACAAAAGCAAGCATCCATCTTACAGCTTAACCACTGATTGTATATTGTAAATACAGGCTGTAAATGCAGGTGGAGGCAGGGCTTAAATGTTTAAATGCGGTAGCTCAGTTATATGGAATTGACAGTGGCTGCAATCTGAGCATCAGCACTGTTTTGAAATGCAATGTCATACTAAACAGAGCAGGTTGTCTGGCAGAAATTAGCTTTAGCGCTGTAGCCCCCACTTCATTGAATGTGTGACTTATTTTACATATATGTGGGTTTTATGTTTATGTCTGCGCAAAGACTGCGGTTGCTTTACATGTCACTGAGCTGGAATTAAAATGAAACCCTCCTTGTTGGATAAGAGACATATTTACAAGATAAGGCATGAGGACATTTACAAGTTACACCTACTATATGCACTGTACACTTGATGTTGTAAATGTGGAGTTGTCAGCCAGCATACCTCAACCGTTTCAGCATGAAACAGAATCACAAATGGCACTGGTCCAATCCAGAGTTTAAGCAGCGGCGCATCACAGAACTCACGGGTATAATCCTCAATTTGACGGAAGAAATCTGGAACAAAGAAACAACTGTGGGCTATATATGCAGTAATGGGGCATTATCCTATCAGTTATGTCAGTCAATGTAAAATTTTGCACCGTATGAGTTCCATTGTTCCTGATAGTCTAGTCCTTGACAGTCTGCACATGCTGTAAATCAGCCTATGCAGCCCCCTGTAGCAGCATGTTGACTGCCCTCTTACCTCCTGCATTGGTTTTGAACTGCAGTGCATTTCCAATGAAGGGGTATGTCCCCTCCACCTCGGGAATAGGCTTCATTTCAAACCATTTGTGCAGGTAACTGCTGAGCAGCTTGTAGGTGATGTAGGTCAGAATAGCGATGAAGACGCTGACTCCAAGTAAAGGTATCATGTTACCACCAAGTAAAACTGCCATCTTTTTTGCAGGTTGTACACACCTGTACACACAGTTTGGGTGTGTGTGTGTGTGTGTGTGTGTGTGTGTGTGTGTTCAAGTTATGGATTCAGTATAAAGGTGCTGTGACGTATGCCCAGCCTTTACTCCTCCTTCCCTCTGCTTTCAATCCACTGAAAACTTACTGGATCAAGGGGACCGACTGCATTTGCTGTCATTTATTGATCTTGGCCAGTATCATAATTTAGGAAATGTTATAGACTGCTGTAGAGGGAAATACAAGATAAATTATATATAAGATTGGAGCTTGATCCACATTAACAGGCTACTAAAATATGTAAAAGAGCTATAAATATTGGCAAAGATTATATAATGAAGATGTTAATGATCAGCTGACTGGCCCTGACCTTTGTCCCACTCCCCCCTCTCCTTGTCTAGTATTTTTCTGGTCATGGCATACCCAATCTCTTTAATGAATAACAGCCTTATCTTATTACCAAGTATATTTCATGGTTACAACAGGTTTAACTGTTGAAAGCTATAAAATTATATAGATTATAACAGGTGTATTACTTAGATGCATTTTAGTCTGAATTTGAATAAGGTACTATTTAATCATATGAGAACATTTAGGTTACACGGTTATTTTCTAGTTATGTTTTGCTATTTAGAATTCTAATTTTATATGTTTATATATACTTAATTGCAGAGTAATCATTTACTGTGTATAAATTCAATATTTTGGTGACGGTTTTAATTTCATAGTAAATAAAAACATCTTTTTTTTTTTAAAGATTTGACTTTAGTACTGTCTAAGATGAGTGTTGTGTAAACACAGTTTATTTCAACCCAGATTTTTTTCATTTTTGAGGCTATGGGTAGTTTGACCGGTTACATCATTACCTCTTTGACCAAAACAAACATCAGGGCCGTCGCTGTTCACACTGAGCACATCATTCTAGTTAATATTGTTATATAAAGGCAATAGAATTGAACATCAGTCAAAAGTAAGATACAAAAACAAAATTCAGTTTATTGTCAAGATGCAAATACCACATCGTCTTTTAAAAGGTATCGTTATTGTAATGATACAGAGGTTTATGTAGCATTTCTCCTGTTAGTTGTTTGTTTTACTACTTTTCCATTATCAAGAGAACAACATGTGTAACTTCACTGTGTCCTTTCCACCAAACATTCTCCCTGAAGATATAAAGTTTATGAAATGTGTCTTCATACTTTCTTTTCAAAATTTTCCATTAAAGGTAAGGGGTCCTTTGGAAGGGGTTAGACGACTGAGGTATTTCTAAAAATCTGTCTTACAGTAAGCTTAACAAACGTTTAAGAAATTTGTATCATGTCCGATTGGGGCCTTGTCAAAGCAACCAAATGTGTATCTATTGCCTGAGCTTTTCTGTTTCTCAATTTTTCAAAGCTTAGAAAAAAAATCACTGCTGTTTGATATGTAACTGGATGGGTTGACAGATTGAAGAACCACACTAAATGGGAATAGACAGGCCCATGACTGCTGTTATATTTTGCCCCGAAAAATCCTCATTTCAAGTTCTATAGCTGTGCAATGTTTATCTTGTGTTAAGTAAATTTCATAGGCTCATTTCCAATTTCAACAGTAACAATGACCTACTTTGTAATTTGCAAATGCTCATATTACTGATGAAATATTTGTGTAGTATTTGAAGCACAACAAATGCTGTAGTTTCTTATTACAACCACTAGATGTCAGAGTGACACAATATTTAATCTGAGGTAGAAGATACCCATCAACCTAACTGTAACCCTAAACCATCAAATGGTATGTCACCTCAATTAAATGATTTTAATTACTTTTAATTAATTTTTCACTGAAAATGAGCCAACCTTTTAGCAAACACTTTATTAAGAGACTGCATCATTAAATTACTTGCAATAGATTTGATATCATTTATACTTTACATTGTGCGTTTTTGAAAACAGTACTGGAAAACATGACACTTTTGCCTTAATTAAACAGGTAAACAACAAATGTTAAACACACACACACACACACACACACACACACACACACACACACACACTAATAACAGTATATTCCAGCATCAGTGACATGCCTTCAGGGACCAAGTGGACCAGTATGGGAGCTGTGTGGCTGCTGGATAAAGATGAAGCCATAATTCAGACCACTGTTCAGAATCCACTAAATCTCAGGCATAACTGTCTGAGTTTCAAAACAAAGACTGAGTTCGAAACAAACGCAGCGGAAGAACAGAGATTTCCTTAATTACTGATCGGTGGTTTGACAGGGGGATCTGTCTGATTCATTAATTCCCCAGTTAGTTAGACAAGTTCCATATACAGACCACAAAACAATCAGCGATTGGTAGCAATTAGTAATAATTTGACAAACTTTGGTAATTATTATTATTACAATTGAAATTTGCCACTATTATCAATAAAAAACAGTCACTCCTTCAATCGATTTGTCATGCCAAGTGCAATGAGGAGCTTCTGGTGAAAGGCCGGCACCCTCTCCTTATGACAATGCCAGTCCAGGATGCATCTCGAGCGCAACATGCCCCTGCGGAGGAAGAGTGAGCGAGACAACTTGTAGTCGTGCACATCCTGCAGGAAGACCAGAACCACAGAGTCCCTGCTGGCTTCAATGACCTCGTTAAGTGCGTGGTGGGCTTTAAATCTGGATGAGAAGAGACAGGGGGTGGAGGGACAGTTTGAGAGCTGACGATACTGCTAATGTAGAGCACAGATAAAATACAGTATGTCACACATCACAACATTTTAAAGAATATATTAAATGAAGCTGTGTATGTTTGATTTACCGTCTACACCAGGGATCTTTGAGAAGACTTTCAGTGACGACGAACAAGATTTTCCTGGACATTTTCATATTATCCACAATGGATTCAAGCAGTGGCATTCCAGGGACTCCATCTCGGTCCTGCAAACAAAACCTGCACCTTTCATTCTCTAAGGGGACCATCATCCTTTCCACCCAGCGGCTGTCTTCTTCTGCATGTATGATGTAAGCGTCATATTCAAATTCCCTGCCCTCTTCAACGCTGGCGTCACTAAATCCTAATGTGCGATTGATCAGTATGTTCCAATAAAACTGAATCCTCCAGCCATGGAACCGCACCACAAGTGCAGTTACCATCAGCATTAGGACAACTGTGCTGCTCAGTACGTAAAGAGCCTGAAAAGGGGTCATATCTTTGCAAGAGAGGGTGTCAAAATCCATGACTGATTGATTGAAGTAAGCACGTGGAGTGTTGCATGTATACTGGTCCCTGAGGTTTGGCAATCTGGTAACATTTGTGTTATTCAACCATCTGACAAACCACAGGATGCTCTCACATGTGCAGTCAAATGGATTTTTGTCCATGACAAGTAGGCTGAGGTTTCTCATCGGAGTTTTGAACACTTCGGGCCTCACAGTTGTGATCAGGTTCTTCTGTAAACGTAAAACACGCAATGATGTTAGATCATCAAAAACGGAGTCCTTAAAACTGTTTAGGAGATTGCTTGAGAGACTTAGTTCACTGAGGTTGCTCAAACCTCTCAGAGCCTCCTCTGGGATCTCATCCAGCCCGTTACTATCCATCTGTAAGGTGATCAAGTTCTGTACCCCTTTGAGAAACAACACTGGCCCACCTAGGTTGGCACTCTTCCACAACCGGGCTAAGTTATTGTGTTGGAGCTTCAGCACCTTCAGGTTCACAAGCCCCTCAAACGTATTCTCTATGATGTTTGCGATGTTGTTGTTACTGAGATCCAGGACGGTGAGGTTGGACAGGGGCTTGAATAGAGAGGGATCCAGTTTGGAAGCTGTCATATTAATGCTTTTTCCCAAAGTCAGGACCCTAAGATTGGGCACCTTAACAAATGAAGTGGAGCTGAGTTTGACTTTCTGGTAGTTATCGCTCATGTGTAACTCTTGAACCTGACCAAGGCCTTTAAACTCTTCGCCAGTGAGAATTTGACTTATAAAATTATGATCTAGAAGGAGGATGGTGAGGTTTCCCAAAACAGAGAAGCTTCCAGGATTAATCTCTCCTATAGCTGTTCCTCTCAGATTTAGCTGTCTGAGAGGCGATCCTGCGAGAGAGACTAAGGTTTTGTTACTGATGCTTCTGAGCGATGCACAAGTACTCCAGCTCATATCAAGTTCCTGAAGGCTTGTCAAACCTGTAAAGGTGTTCGCTGTGATTTCCCGAATTGCAGTTTGCTGTAATGTTAAACTCTCCAGGGCACTTAATGGTTGGAAGGAGAAATCATCAATAATCGGGGTTGAGGAGGTATGACCTCTCACCAGAGCTTTTGTCATTTGGAGTTTTTTCAGACTTTTGAGCCCCTGAAATGTGTCCTTGGTCAGGTGCTTGATGTTGTTGTTGGCCAAAATTAAAATCTGAAGTCTGGGCAGCCACTGAAATGAGCCTTCCTCAATTTTACCCATGCCATTATGGGACAGATCCAGAAAGGTTAAGTTTGCTTTCTGCAGCCCTGTAAAGGTTGTGTTCAAGAGTGTGACCAGCTTTACCTTCTGAAGAGACAGGGTCTCAATGGATGTCCCTGACAACTCTAAGCAGAGTTTGGAAATGACCTGACTGTCCATATTACTCCCATCCATGATTAACGTATGTAGGCCTGAAATGGGATCAAGGCAACCGGGCTCCAACTGCAACAAAAAAAAAGGGATCTTGCATTGAGACAAAAAGTGGGAAACAAAACAGACAACTGAAACCAAGGTAGGTTACCCTACGTTATACTATTAGTTCTAGTTTTGACTGCTCAATTTCATTTCTCAATTCCATGTAAGTTTCTTACTTTTTTTAGAGGCAGAGTCGAGAGATTGAGGACTCGTAGAAAGGGTGAATGGTTAAGGAAAGAAAAGTCATCTTTCTCCAGAGTGCTGAAGTCGTTGAATGCCAGATTGAGGTTCACAAGGCTGGGCAGCTGAGGCTGAGAGCTGAGCTTGGCTGAAGGCAGTTTGTTTGTGGAAACATCAAGAAATTGCAGGTTCTGTGAATAATAGCAGGTGAATAAACACAAAATAAAGTGTTATTTAATGCAATGCATGACAGGCACGTCAAACAACAGATTCCCGTAAGTGATGTGGGATACATCAGGGTGAGAGAAACCTGTACCTTTAGTGAAGAGAAGGGCTCTCCTTGAAGCTTTAGCCTATTACTAGCCATATTCAACCGTGTTAGACTGGTGCAGTGGCTCAGATCGTCCTTCTTCAGCAGATGCACTTCATTGTGTTCTATGATTAGCGTCTGCAGCTGGGGCAGCGTCTGGCACAAACGCACATCCAGCTTGGTGATACTGTTGTAACTGACATCGAGGTGGAGGAGTCCATTGTATGGGCTTAGAGACTCAGGGGAAATCCCCACCAGTCTGTTGTGAGACATATCCAGGCTGGTGATGTTCCTGGGAAGGTTTTGAGGGGTTGCGTTGAGGCTGAGGTGGCTGCAGTCAGCTCTGCCATCTTGCACGCTGCAGGATGTCTTCTTCTGGGATGCCATGCAATGGTACGGGCCGGTCATAAAATAACATATGACGATGACCCATGTCAGGAGAAGGGAGCGAGGGGAGCGCATCGCTTCAGAAACCTTTACAAAAAGAGAGAGAATAAAATCTGCAAAAGCCTTAAACTTACATTAACTCATTTTTGTGGGACAGCACAACAAGGACATTGACATTTTATCATCTTATAAAGTTGACATAGAAAACAATTTATCAAATAGTTACTTGTTTGCACGTGGAGCAGACACAAAACACCACTAGGAAATACTCTGTAAAATGTAAGTCCAATATTCACTCTTATTTGAACTGTTTTCCTCCCCACCAGCAGCGATGCTCCACTATGCTCACCGGCTAACTTTGTTTATCTGCTGTTTTACTGTTAACATATCGTGGGTTAAACAGAGCGTTTTCACTGAAAACAACAGCCTGCCACTGCTGGACACAGGTTTGGTGACATTGGTGACAGTAAAGCAAAACAATCTCTCTGTAGGTTTGTCACTACTAGCGACATCTGTCACTTTACACATAATCATTTCATTTATTGTTAATATTAAATACTGATTAGTGCAGCTTTAATATACAGCACTGTCCAGGTATGGCATGTGATAACGCTCCTTCATTTCCAATATTACAATATAGACTTGATAGTATTTCAAAAACTGTTTACAGAAATATTTGTGCCAAAAGCGAACATAATAATGATAATTATTGTTATTATTAACACAGTATGCTTAATATGATTACTATAGGATTGCATCATAATTATAGCACTGTCACCTTGACATTTCACACACACTGGCTAACATCTGAGATATAATACCTGCAGAGCTCTTACCAAACGTTGCCTTTGCATATTATCTGTTGCATTTAGACTCCATAGACTTCAAACAAACAATGTTCTTCAGGGAGCACAGACGCAGCTTATGTCACAGGCACTGCAGCAACAAAGCAAGAAAATAAGGAAATGAGACGGCACCAGCTCCGGTTTCGCTTCCACATCACTGAATCTGCTGGAGGATTAACTCTTTCATGCAGGAGGATAACCAATATTTGGAAGTTTGAATGAAACTCATACTCACATCCGACAAACCATCCTGGAGCCAGTGTGTTTAAGTCCTAAGAGTTATTAAACATATACCAATGCCAGTTCTAATAAACTCTGATCAACATGGTTCCTGATATCGGTGAGGATTTGGTGACACGTGGTATAAATAGGCGAGGTTACGGCACAGTCGGACTTTGGGGCGGAAATATGTGATATGTATTTGAAAGGACAACACTGCATCTGAAACCGTAACGCATGTGTTAAGTAAGGACAATAACAGTTATGAAAAAAATCTCATAAATCTATTCAAATAACTACCCGACAGCGTTAGACGAGTTAAATTGTAAACAGTTGCTTTAAACGTGAATGTGAGGTCACATTTGTGCTGTTTTCAGTAAAACAAGGTTGTGTGTGGGATAAAGACCGTAAATTTATGAGTAGATGTGCAAGACATTTAGCGTGGAAGAGCAAGACTGATGGAATTTTGCTGTAAATAATGTTATTTAAAAGATATAAAGCCTCTGATAAGTTTGAAAGAACATATTGCTTTATCTGCCTCCCTTATCCCCGTTATTTCTTTGTATGTCTATGTATTGTACTTTTTGTTTTTTGTTTTTTTAGGATATATATCCTCTGAAAACAGAGCATGGCTGTACTGTGCACATAAGTTCTTTTGAGTCTTTTCTGTTCTATATAGTTGACAAGAATGAACTTGTCTTCAGCCCATGATGTGTCACCCATTTGTCTGCCCAGTTTGGCTCTTACAGTGACCAGACACACATTAAATAAGTGCTCCACTCCACTTAGTCAGATTTATCATTTAGATTTTGACCTATTATTTTGGACTGAATTGCAATGACACATTAAAACAATGGGAAATAACAGATAAGTATCAATTTCATAAGACACACTCAGTGTCAAACTGCCTGACAAATGAATTATTCAGAATCTGAAAGCCAGTAGATACAATTATGGTCTCATTTTGTTAGTGGAGTCCAAAATCCAACAACCAGGTGACGCAGACTTACAGTATAAAGCACACACTTATACATTCTGTTTTAAAACCTTCAGCATCTGTGGCTTGTGGTTCCCTAAAAGAGACTGCAACTATCAAGATGCAGAAGTAGGAGAATTTAGAATTTAGTAGACAGTATACCTTGAACATCCACTATAATAGAATCAATTTAACCCTGCAGTGAATGATCTTTGCAAAAGAATTTGTATGATGGCATTTAGGTTCTTATTTATTTGCACAGTCACTTGCACACAAACTTGGGAACTGCCCACAAACAAAAAAGGCTTTCATTAGCCTTTCTTGCCTTTGCTCAATGGCACTTTAAAAGTCTAATTTAACTCAACTTAGGGCAAGGAAACAAAAAACTTTGTCATATGATAATGTTTAATTTGACATGGTTTTATAACATTACATAACTTGTCCTCATTCACAACACAGGATAAATGAAACCTAAGTAGTCTAAACTAAATCTAGGTTAGTTAAAAAAAAACCACTAGAGGGCAGTACAATACTGTCACGTAGCCACTCAACATCCCCACTATTAGTATGGGATTTTGCATTATATGGGACTTTGTGGGATGCTTACCTCTGTTGGCTTCACCCCAGTCTGAACCCTGAAAATGACCATTGGCTGTCAATATCAAGTCAGCTGTGAGTTGAAAAGAAAGTTCTTGTGGCAAATAAGACAAGAAAGTGAAATGTGTTACTTTAGTTTGTGAATGGAAATATGGTCTAGCTGTTAGGAATATGCTTTATTGCTTTTATTTGATGACTGGACAGTAGAGGGGGGCAGGAAATGAGGAGACAGAGGCATCACCCCTCCTTTGCTGATTGGAATCAGATCCCATTCTTCAAGATTTCAGATTGTCATTTTAATTGTAGACTATGGACATACATGTAAAGTATGAATGTTATGTAATCCATGACACTTAGTTGCCCAGGGGTCTGAGACATTGACCATGTAGTAGCAACATCGCCTGTTTACAAGCCCCTTTGTTGTACGTCACCCCTCTTTGGGTGACTGAAACTGGATAGGTTCAAGCAGCTATAGCTGGAAAATATTATGAAAAGCATCAGGGTAAACAATTGTAAATCCTGTTAATGAGTCTGTTAGCTTTCATTTGGAGCTGCTTTTGTGCAAATTGATTAGGGCCATCTAGGACTGTTATTAGTAACACATAAATTATTTTCTTTCTTTTTTTTTTGCTCTCTTCGAAATGATGACTTAGCTATTAAGAAGCATGCATGTTAAATGAAATGCATTTCCTCTAAGATTGTGCATTGCGAGTAAATGGAGTGAAGCTAATTTATTGAACTTTAGGTCTAAATATCGGTATCACTGCAGTTGCAGGCTGCAAGGAAGTACATTACTGAGACAGTCCAAACACCAATAAATCTGAATATAACCACATGATTAAATCCATTTTGAAAGGTCAGAAGTAATATAACGGCAGAAATGACCTGGGGCTAAATGAGTCATCAACAAAACCTGCACCTCTTCAAGCAAAAGCAATTAATGCCTTGTCATTGGTTATGGGTGACAGATGTGTCATTTCATCGTTATTAACATGGATTGATGAGTAAGTCTTTTCAGTTCGGAGCAAACTGCAGTTTAACCAGAAATATTTCAAACATCTTTGATATCCTGTTGACAGTTCACTCACCCAGCGTGACTAGAATATCCTCAGTGTTGTTTTGAATCTTTAATCATATCACACTTTGAACCACAGTGTCTTAATTAACTTGACATCAGGTGTCACACAACAGAGCACATCTATCATTCCCAAGCACAGCATTAATTCAAACCTGCACTGTGTCAGAGCGCTGCTGAAATGAATGATCCGTCTCCCTGAAATACAAAATTAACTTTGATTAGAAGTCTGTCTGTATTTCAAGGCTTTTTCAAATTCATTGTTCAGGCTGTGTGTTTGTGTTTAGTGCTAATTCACAAATGTTCACTTGCTAACACTTGCTAGCTCACAGTGTTTTCCAACTCCCTTGCACCATCTCTCTGCTACTAGATTGATTATGTAGAGATTTATTGGAGGGAGGACACTCACCCTACAGTGACCTCTCATCACAGCATGTTTTCTCTCTCTAGTAACTGGATTAATACCGGGGCTGAGAATGATTGTTTTGCATGTCTTTGTAGGTGATTCTAGGACATGCAAAGCAGAAAAATGTTGCATTGCTCCAAGAAAATAAATGTTAAAATAAACAAAGTCCCCCTCCTCCACAGTCGTACACACACACACACACACACACACACACACACACACACACACACACACACACACAGACATACATTCACACCTTTCCATTCACCCTGTTTTCCCCTTTATCCTTCCCTCAGATTAATAGAGCAGGTCCTTCCTGGGATAGACCTCAGGCCATCTGATTGGTTTAGTCCAGTACTAAGCCCAGGCAGCTTATAGGGCTTTGTGCCAATAACTGGACTGCTGAAGACCTGTAAAAATGTGGAGGAGAGCTAGCATGGTCAAGTTAGTGATATGATTTAAAGAAGAAACACAGAGATAAGAGTCAGGGATTTACTGCACAGCTATGAAATAAACAGAGAGCAAAAGTTACATGGAGCAGAGAGGGCCGTGATGAGAACCAGAGCAAATGATGCAGCAGGGAATCGTTGCAGCTCCGTTCTGCTGTAACACCGGCTAAATCATGAGGTGCACTGTCAAGAGCTCAGGAGGGGAAGGAGGCAAACAGAGACATGAGAGCTGACAGGAATCAGGTGCAGATCACATTTTCACAGGAGAAATAATTTGGCGCTGGAGAGAGAGATATTAAGAATAAGGAGAAACACTCCTACTGTACTGTGGAGTGAGTGACAAGCATTGATATACACTAACTGTAGCCTAAGAGTGGCTAGTGCGTATCATGCGTGCGTGTGATTGAATGCACTCATGCAAAAGGGATAACTGGTGGGGGGCAGCAGCTCCATCAATGGGAGTGTGAATGCCACATTCTTCATCTTACCGGCTCGGGGTAAATCTCCTCTCCCTCATTTGCAGACTGAACCTCTGGAGTGTTGGAATGCTGCGAAACAAAGGGTGAGTTTGCCCTCATGGGTCTTCACTGTCGTTCATAGTGGATGTTAACCTATATGTTATGTAATCATGTACATTAACTCACACTGTAAATTCATTATCAATGTGCGCACTTCGCTTCACTACACACTGATCTGCTCACATTTTGTTGTGGGATTATCTGTTTTTTCGCCCTTGTTGTCTCACAGCAGTGCATTGTCATTGTCTGATGTAATTGGCATCTTTTTACATATGTGCAGTTTAAGTCAGAGAAACAAAAAGTGGAGCATGGATTCCTAAAAAAAACTGAAGAAACAAGTCTTTGTTTGCTTGACTTTGCACTGATATTTTAAGAGGAGGGGAAATGAATCCCCTGTTTCATCTTCACACGGGGGTGGTGAGGTTCAAGCAGGAATAAATAGGATAGCTGTGGGATGAAGAGATTTTAGATAAAGGGCAGGAGGAGATGTGGAAGACGGAAAGGGTAATGTACATACAAGGAGAGGTCCAGGCAGCAGCAGTAATGTTGTAGCATGTTCTCCCTCCCCTCTGCAGAAAAAAAAAAACCACACTGCAGTATATCGCCCCCTCCCCAGTTTGCTGACCAATGATGTTTGGAGGTCAGACTCCCAGCTCTGTTACTGGTGTCAGCCATTGACACACAGCTTGTCCATGAACATGGTGGTTATTACACCTCACAGGAAGGGAGGGGCAGCTGATTAAAAGCAATGCATGTGCATTTTGATTTCATGCTGGAGGGAATACAGAACAGAACAGAACCGAACATGGATGAATTAAG